GTGTACTTATAAATATTCCTAATAACAAATTGTAAAGAAAATATGAAATTGTTTATAATTAAACCAATCATATTAATTATGATTTACAAAATGAAATTTTGTGTTTTAGAATTCAAAAATTAGACGAATCATGAGAATTAAAGCAGTCAAAATAGGTCCAAAACCGCGGGTCGAACCCAAATCATCTCACTATTAAGCAGATTGGGAAAATATATTAAACCTGCAAATAAGCGGGCCATATGGATTGATTCGCAGTGGGTCATCGGTTTTCATCCGCGGGTTGGCGGATCAACCCGCATGATAGTATTTATTGATAAAAATATAATTTATTCAACATGTGGTAGTTTGAAAAACTTTTAATAAATGAAATTATAATATTTATAAATATAATGATATATAAGATTATAATCTCTAAATTTTTTCTAAGTACAATCAAATTTTATTTGATTTCCACAAACATTTGATTTTAGTTCGATTTTTCATTATTAATTCGAATTTATATTCCAAAAAAATTTCAAAGATCCGATTTCAGAATTTCGGGTCAATTTTCTGATTTTGACATGACCCATTTACATTTGTACTTCTCTAGAGATGGAGGACGACTGACTTATAATGGGCCATATTCTAGGAAATAAGCGCTAGTTGGGCCATAGATAAGGCCCACATAACCAGTGACCACTGCCGCCGATAATTTCCCGAGTTTTGTTTCGTGGTTAAAAAATACCCACAGTAGTCGTATTGTTTTAGTGAACCGTCGAATAGAAAAAGGCAGGGAATCATTCGTGATAGCACTTTAAAAAGGTTAAAAAAGTCAAGTATTAAAAAAAGATGATGCGCTTTCACAAAGCTTGTCATCGTTTCTCTCTTTCACCTCTCTGCCATTTATCTCCACCGTCTCCGTCGCCGGCTGCTTCTCTCCTTCTACTTCCCAAGCTTTCCGGATTCTCTACGTTGTGTACACGCCGTTGCGCAAGAGTTCGCCGATTCTCCGATAACCCATTGACCACTGTCATGTCTTCACGTGCTGCTGCTAGGCTTCGTTGTCTCGCATCTGTCTGTCCTGGAGGTGCTGAAGACGGTGGTGGAACCTCTAATGGCTCAGTATCAGCCTCTGCTACTGCAACTGAAGATGATGGTAATACATCCTTTTTAGCCGATTCAATTGACGCCACTCAGATTTTGTAGGATTCAGTTGAAATCTGAGAAATCGTTTTTGATTATTTGTCTGTGTTTGAACTATGTAGAATTGGCTTTAGGCACTGGATATCGTCTGCCTCCACCTGAGATCAGAGATATTGTAGATGCTCCACCAGTCCCGGCATTGTCATTTTCACCACATAGGGATAAGATATTGTTTCTCAAGCGGAGAGCATTGCCTCCCCTCGCTGATTTAGCTAGACCAGAGGAAAAGCTTGCTGGTGTTCGAATTGATGGACACTGCAATACCAGAAGCAGGATGTCTTTCTATACTGGTTTAGGAATCCATCAGTTATTGCCTGATGGTACATTGAGTCCAGAGAAGGAGATCACTGGCATTCCAGATGGTGGTAAGATTAACTTTGTTACATGGTCTAATGACGGTAAGCATCTGGCGTTCAGCATCCGGGTCGATGAGAACGGAAATAGTAGTAAGCCAGTAGTATGGGTAGCTGATGTTGAGACTGGACTAGCTAGACCATTGTTTAAGTCGCAAGATATTTATCTGAATGCGATTTTTGAGAGTTTTGTTTGGATTGATAATTCCACTTTGTTGGTGAGCACAATCCCTTCATCTCGTGGAGACCCACCAAAGAAACCTTTGGTGCCATCTGGTCCCAAAACTCTGTCAAACGAGACGAAGACTGTTGTCCAAGTTAGAACATTCCAAGATTTGCTTAAGGATGAGTATGATGCTGATTTATTTGACTACTACGCCACATCACAGTTAGTATTGGCTTCTTTGGATGGCACAGTGAAGGAAGTAGGGGTTCCTGCAGTGTATACATCGTTAGACCCTTCGACAGACCATAAATACTTGTTAGTGTCATCACTTCACAGGCCATATTCCTTCATTGTACCTTGTGGTAGATTACCAAAGAAGGTGGAAGTATGGACAACTGATGGTAGATTTGTAAGACAGCTATGTGACTTGCCCTTAGCTGAAGATATCCCCATTGCCTCCAATAGTGTGCGGAAAGGAATGCGTTCAATAAACTGGCGAGCAGACAAGCCTTCAACCATCTACTGGTAAATATTTGAGATTCAATGTGATTCACATGTAGTACACGTTCCAAAATGGGATTTGGAAGTAATCAATTTGCAACTCTTCTGAGATATGTAGGGCAGAAACACAAGATGGAGGTGATGCCAAAATCGAAGTTTCACCGCGTGATATTGTTTATATGCAGTCTGCGGAACCATTGGCAGGAGAAGAACCAGAAGTGTTACACAAGCTCGATCTTCGTTATGGGTAAAAACTAAAAACACAGCAGATATTGCAGATTACTTATGCCATCTTATCAACAAACTGACTAACTTCATCAAAGCCTTCTATGTCCTAACATTGATCCGATTTCAATTCTGCAGAGGGATTTCTTGGTGTGATGATACGTTAGCTCTAGTTTATGAATCATGGTATAAAACACGACGAACAAGGACGTGGGTTATCTCTCCTGGATCTAATGATGTCAGTCCACGCATCTTGTTTGATAGATCATCGGAAGATGTGTACTCAGACCCTGGCTCAACCATGCTGAGGAGAACCGCTGCTGGAACATATGTGATAGCAAAGATAAAGAAGGAAAATGATGAAGGCACTTATGTATTACTGAACGGAAGTGGGGCTACACCACAAGGGAATGTGCCCTTCCTTGACTTGTTTGACATGTAAGCCCAACCTGACAATGACTTCTCTTTCTTGCGCTTTTCCTTTTGTTTTTATTGCCATTACGCGGTAACAAACTGAATGTTCTGTACAAAATTTTCTAGAAATACAGGCAACAAAGAACGAATCTGGGAGAGCGACAAGGAAAAGTATTTCGAGACAGTTGTTGCTTTGATGTCTGACCAGAAAGAAGGGGATTTAAAAATGGAGGAGCTGAAAATTCTGACATCAAAGGAGTCTAAAACAGAAAACACCCAATATTCTCTCCAACTTTGGCCTGATAGGAAAGTGCAACAGATTACAAACTTTCCTCATCCGTATCCGCAGTTGGCTTCGCTACAGAAAGAGATGATCAGGTATCAACGGAAAGACGGGGTTCAACTTACTGCAACACTATACCTACCACCAGGCTATGATCCATCAAAAGACGGTCCTCTTCCTTGTCTGTTTTGGTCTTATCCTGGTGAATTCAAGAGCAAAGATGCTGCTGGTCAAGTCCGTGGCTCTCCAAATGAATTTGCAGGCATTGGTTCAACTTCTGCCCTTCTTTGGCTTGCTAGAAGGTATCTAACATTTTCCAATACTATGCTTGTTAGCATTGGTATTGTTTCTTGTTGTTTCAGTGTGCTGGAGTCTATTTCATTGAGCTTGTTGATCGAGTGTTAGCTTATACCATCTGGATTTTTCTGCACTGTGCAGGTTTGCTATATTATCTGGACCTACTATACCTATAATTGGTGAAGGTGATGAAGAGGCTAATGATAGGTACAGTGATATTTACTTTCGTAAAGCTGGTTACGAAAACATGGAAACCAGTGATATCTTCTTGGTTAAAGGTTTCCTGTAAGCATAAGCAAACTAATTAAGTGGGAACCTATGACATCAAACCACTTAAGTTTCAGATCTGAGATGTGCTTGAGCTTGACAGATTCTAATGTGAACAACTGAAACAACATTCTCAGGTATGTAGAGCAACTGGTTGCAAGTGCTGAGGCTGCTGTAGAGGAAGTCGTCAGGCGTGGAGTAAGCATTGCTTTATCCTAAATCCATCATCTCGATAGTGTATTAAACCACAACAGTTTTGAAACTTACTATTGTTTTGTCCTTTTTTTCAAGGTGGCTCATCCAAGCAAAATTGCAGTTGGGGGACACTCCTATGGAGCTTTTATGACTGCAAATCTTCTTGCTCATGCTCCTCATCTTTTCTCCTGCGGAATAGCCCGATCTGGCGCTTACAACAGAACACTCACGCCCTTTGGTTTCCAGGTGCCATGACCAATTGTCTTTCTCGTCTCATTCTCTGCATTTAGATAGTTATTGATCTATCCTTTTGGTTATTCTTTAACTATGCCTGGAAATTTTCAGAACGAGGACCGAACTCTGTGGGAAGCCACTAACGTCTATGTAGAGATGAGCCCATTCATGTCTGCTAATAAAATCAAGAAGCCAATCTTGCTTATTCATGGTGAAGAAGACAATAACCCAGGAACTCTAACAATGCAGGTTATAACTTCATAGAAATTACTTGAAAGGATTGGTTCACAGCTATATTTCACTGGATTGGTTCTCTCTAACTATATTCATTTCACTTACTTTGTGTAACAGTCAGACCGATTCTTCAATGCACTAAAAGGCCACGGCGCCCTTTGCCGTCTTGTTGTTCTTCCACACGAGAGCCACGGGTACTCAGCACGGGAAAGCATTATGCACGTTCTCTGGGAAACTGACCGTTGGCTTCAAAAATACTGCGTTCCAAACACAGCAGATGCAGATACAAATCCTGACCAGTTCAAAGAAGGCTCAGATTCTTCAGACAAAGTAGCCACTGGCACAGGTGGTGGTAATCCGGAGTTTGGTGAGCACGAAGTTCACTCCAAGCTCAGGAGATCACTTCTCTGGTAAACTCCCTCACCATTCCCGAACAGAAAACAAAACCACAAGATTTCTCACATTTGATTAGCTGATTCAATTTGTGGACTTGCTGGTTATGCTTTTTTCCAGAGTTCCCAAAGGTGCTTCACTAGCCACATGCAGCATTCGAGTGCACTAGCAGAACAAGAAAAGGCAGATGCAACACAAACTATTTTTTCATAGAACACTCGATTCATAATAATATGAAAAAAGGTTATTGAATTACTGGAAACGCTCTTTCAAGTGCAATACTTGCATCAATATTCACCTTTTGTAATTTCTCAGACCGTGAAACAAAACAAGAGAGATTGTGTCTGAATGAACATCACATTTGAATTAAACTTTGTTTATACCTGACAAATCCCATTCTCAGATTTGTTTGTTTATTTTTTAAGAAACCCAACCAAAAATAAAAACAAACAGAAATGGAAATAAAACAGAGTCTTGAGGAACCAGGTTTTGAGCGGCTTAATTACTCTTCAGCAGCTACAACACTGATCTCACCTCTCTCAAGCAAGTCATAGAAAGTTCTGGTTTTCCTCTGTTCGTTCCAATGGTGCATCTTCCAAAGACCACCAGCAGCTAAACCGAGTGCCAAACCGATAACTAACTCCTTGACAACGCTAGGCCCTTTCAATGTCGCATGTGCAACCTTGTGTCCTGCCATCTCTTCTTTCTTCTTCTCAACCTATCAAAATATAACAGCATAACCCCAAAGATCAAACATATTGCCCTACCTACATTCTTCACTAGACAAAAGCTAGAAATGTAACTAACAACCAACTCGAAAAACTGGATCAAGTTTGGATCAAGCATAACCACAAGTCAGAAATGTATTGATACTACAAAATCAACTATATATATACAAACATGAACCTGTTTCGTTGTAAAGAATAACCCCAGAAATCAAACATGAATCTTCCTCCCTTGAGGCAATTAGTGATTTGTATGACTGGGAGATAAAAAAACTTACAATTCAATTAAATCGCAATCTCCATCCTAATCTATAACTTTGACAATCCTTCAGACGAAAAAAAAAAAATCAGCCTAATATCCAGAATCCGCATAACGAAAGTTTAAAAATCTTCCCTCGAACGAAAATGATAAACTTTCATTACTACAAAACCATATAGCTTCAAAAAAATTCCCACGAGGAACTCTGGATCTCGATCCCTTAGATCGACGCAATAAGAAGAAGAGGAACCGATGCGAATCGGTTAAATCAGAATCACTCTTTAATTTACATCTAGAAGACGAATCGACAAAAACTATAAAATCTAGAAATCAAAAGAAAAAGAGAGACAGATGAATTTGGGGGATTTACCAAGTCGGAGTGTGGAGGTAGACGACGACCGGAGCGAATGAAGACGATGATGATTCAGGAGTGTGTGATTAAAATGAGAGATTAATCAATTTTTATAGTCTCCTCTCATCATGGATCATATATTTTCTCATCCAACCTATTGGGCTAACATCTATGCTCGGCCCGTTACCTTTTTCTTTCGAAGAGTTTTTTTTGTTTTTGTTTTTATTATACTGTCTTTGGTCAACTCCAGGCTCCAGTCTCCAACTTTTGTTTTATAATAAAAGTATCATCAAAATTTCAAAACACCTACATTTGATGCGACCCAAAGAAAGCAAACCCTCAAATTTTGTATTGACCGAAATTTATTTTAATAAATAAGTTAAAACGATACAACTATTTTTAAAAACGTGTCTATTTGAATATTTTCTCAACTATATACTAAGTAACCAACTTGTGAATTTAAAGCTTCAATGGAAGAAAAAGTAAAGGCATTAAATTGGTAAAAAAGTACAAACATGAAACAACAGAGTAATCAAAGATACAAAATAATTATTAGTATTGAATTCTAGGTGCAGATTCTGGGCCCAATAATACATTCAACGGGCCACCAAAACTAGTGTAAGTAGGCCCCATTTTCTCCAAATCGCTAACCAACCAAAACTCTCTCTGTATCTATTCCACACTTTCCATAAGGTGGTCTTCGTCGCTAACTGTCTTTTGTTTTTCAAAATGTCGCCGTCGTGCTGCTCCGGCAAATGCTCCGTCGCTCTCTTCTTCCTCATTCTCTCCGCCGTTCCAATTGCTTATCTTATCTCCTTAGAGCGAGCTGTTCCTTCCACGCACGTCATCTCTTACCACAGCTCCGGCTTCCTCCGCGAGTGCGCCAAATGGGACGACGTTGGTCGGAGATTCCTCGTTTCCTACATGGACGGCGGCGGCGGTATCGGCGAGCTTGTTCCTACTAAATATTCCGACGACGTTCTTGAGGAAGTCACTTTGGTCAAAGACGTAGACCTCGCCGGTAACTCTTCCAACGGATTCGTCATCGACCGCCAGCGAAACCGTCTCCTCCTCGCTGTCGGCGATTTGATTGGAAACCGCTATAGTGCTTTAGTGGCCTATGATTTGTCCACGTGGCGTCGTCTCTTCCTCACAGTGCTTAGCAGCCATAGTACGTAAGCTAAGCTCTCTCCTTAATTAGCTCTCTCTCTCTCTCTCTTTGTGTTTTGTTGATTTAAGTTGAGAAATGTAGGTAAAGAGATATCATATGCAGACGACGTAGCGGTTGATACACAAGGCAATGCTTATGTATCTGATGCAAAAGGAGGTAAAATATGGATTGTCGATGTGAATGGAAAGCTTGTGTACACCATTAGAAGCCCTCTCTTCGCTCCACCTCGTTGGTATAATAACTTTGTCTCTCTTAACGGCATTGTTTATCACCCGGACGGTTTCCTTATCGTCATCCACACTTTCTCCGGTTTCTTATTCAAAATCGATGTTACCAATGGGGATATTAGTAGTAACGTCACTCTCATTGACGTTTCTGGTGGCTCTTTGAGGTTTGGTGATGGGCTTGAGTTCTTCTTGTCTCCCACCAAGATTGTTGTTGCAGGTAATCTTTAGTAAAGTTTTGATTTTTTGTAAGTCTACCAATGAGTGTATTGGGTTTTTAACTATTTGTGAGTGTTTTCAGGTAGCCCGTCTTCGAAACTGGTGGAGAGTTCAGACGGGTGGCGGACGGCTTCTGTGACGGGTTGCTTCAGCAGCGGTATGGTTCATCGGTTAGTCTCGTCAGCTACTGTTAAAGAAGGAAGAGTTTATCTTAACCACATTGTTGGGTTTGGGTCTAAGAAGAGACACATACTTGTAGAAGCTGTGTTTTAGACTCTGTTTTTGTAGTAGTAATCTCTTCTTTAAGTTCTGCTAGTGACGTCTTTTATGATTCTACTCAAATCTTATGTAAAGCTTGTCTTTGTCAAATTTCTTTTAATCTATTAGATAATCATTCACTATAAGATGATCTGAACATCATTTTTAAAGCCTCTGGAACTTGAACTTCGTTTTGGTGAAACTTGAACCAAAACTTTGTCGTAGACGCATCATCGACTATAAGAATTTTTTTGAATTTGTATATAACCAATTGGAATCCTCAATTTTGCTAGAGATCTTTTAAGGCATAGACTACGTACGTTTTATTACAAAATCTGCATAAAACTTTTAAATTAATTTGACAACTGTTCTGTTACTTACACTTTATTGTCACCTTGATCATCAAAATGAAGAGTAGAAGGTGTAGAAGAAGCAGTAGAAATTCCACGTGGATTTCTTCTTCTACTACCTTGTTCGAAAAGCAAAATCATCCCAAACCACAAAGACCCTTTTATGATCCTAACCATACCAATCGTCACAACCATATAATATAACCACCAATTCACAAAATCAACTGTTCCCACATTAAAAATAACGTTGACATTACCATCAATTGGTAATAACAACAACAATGCTCTTTTAGCCTCAGCCACACCAACCAAAGCCTCTACTTCATCTCGAAGCTTCCACCACCACAACGTCCCACAGCTAACGGCCAAAGCCACCCTCTCCACCACCGTCTCTTCTCTCCGTTGACCGTCTTCTCCTCCTAACAAGGTGTTATCCACCACCGGTCTCACGATCACTCGATACCACAGAAGCATCACCTCATGAAGACCAAAGAAAAACACGAGCCTGCTCAAGAAATTACGTTCGCTTCCGATGATTAAACCGTTGGAAATCGTTGTTTCGAGGCCTAAACCGACAGATATTTGGACAAGGAAGAGTATAAGCCACGCGATGCTGACATGTGGATAAAAAGCAATCGAACGTTTTGGATCTGTAGCTGTGATCTTGGTGGTTAGGCCAAGAACTAGAGTGTAAACGCTTATTGACGAAACGATGGCGTGTACGACCGCCGGATTAGCGCGAAGAAACAGAGAGAAGAAGAACGATGATTCTGTTTGTGGCTGGGATTTGGTTAAGGAGAAGAGGAAAGAAGCTGAAGAGAGACGACTAAGGAGGAGGAAAGAGAGAGGAAGGAGGAGGCTGAGGAGAGTTGTTGTCACTAGCCGGAAAGGCTTAACCACCAGCTGCTCCGCCTCTTTCCGCCACTTTCCGCCGGCGAAACTCATCTTATTCTAAGGGGGAGGAATTGTTGTGACGTTCAGAAACATAAAAGAAAGTTATTTATATGTATTTTTTATAAGAGAAAATGAAGGTTTATGTTTGAAGGAAAGATGAAGGAGTGGGTGCCATGTCTATAGTTTCAAGTTAGGTTAGATGAAAAAGAATCATTCATGTAAACAAATTTAAAATACATTTTAGAGAGGAAATTATAGTATTAAACAACACACGCATAATAAGATTACTTGATTATTAAAACAAATAGAAGAGTGATGAGAAATCATTGCCTTCATTCTTTCCAAGTAATATAAGTTTATTTTGTCTCTAATACAAATGGTCAACTGCAAAAACAATTATGGAGAACGAACGATAATGTTAAGAAATCAAAAGTGGGAGACGCAAACACACAGCTCAGAAACGACAACGTACTGGTGGTAACCCATGATGATGATGCCTTGCTTGCTTCCAATTATAGAGCATTTCGTATCCATGTCTTAAAAAACAAATGTATCCCTTTATTATTATTTAAATCGAGAGATAGCCGTTGAAGATTTGTATATATGAACGGCTATGATGTGATGGTTTGGTGAAAAAAGCCAATGGACGGCCACGATCTCGTCACAAAGGACAATGGGAGGAAAAACAATATCTAGTCAATGATCAGAGAAGTCTAAAAGCAAAATGAAGAAAACTAAACAATTGTCTTCTGTATCTATAAAATCAGGCAGGAAGCTAACTTCTTCTCATCTCGATCAAAAAAATCATCAATATCTAAGCCGGTGCAATCTGTTGCTCCTGAACCGCCTTGTAGCATTTGAGGCTGCATAGAGGAACTTTAGTCTTCGAGTCGCGATACTTGTAAGGATTGGTGCACGATGGACCTGCGCAATTTTCCCGCGGAGGAGGATAACTGCAGTTTAAGAAATTACTTGACCTTGTTATCATAAGGTTTGAAATCGTGTTGCGATTGAATGTAGAACACCAACAGACCCAAACAATATTGGATAGAAACCCGAATCCTAGAGCATTCTTTAAATTTTCCATACCCAAAACATTTGAAGCATTCTCTACTAATTATACCGCTCAATAACAAGCTGAAGTAGCAAGTGTAGGATTAATAATTGCTCAAATTAATCAGATCCAATCAACTACGAGATTAAGGGACATTCAATCTGATTCCAAACAGAGATTGAGAGAAAGAAGAGAGAGAGAGAGAGAGAGAGAGTAGCATACCCTGATGGTTTGGGATCGAACAGGCTAGGCACTTTGTCAATGGGAAATGAAACAGTGGTTCCATTAGGACCCATTATTGTTCTGATGTAGCAAGTTGAGGCTCTCTCCTCATGTGCAGCCTTCTCCTGCAAACGCATGTGACTCTTATTTTCAGCATCTCATTTTGACTAAGCAAGAATACATTAGTGATAAGGTGGTTTATAGAGTGCTTATATCCCAATACCTGAGCCAACTCATCAAGTCGTTTTTTTATTTTGTCTCCACGCTTCTTCCTGCTCGAATCTTGACCTAGAATTTTTTTAATGGCCCCTTCCTGTGAAAACAAAACCAAGATCATCCTCTCGTGATCAGCCAATTTGTTAATGCGCATAGCACAATGGAGAAAGAAGAAAAACCACCAACCTCAGACTCCCTTGCAGCTTTCTCAATCTGAGCTTTTCGCCTTTGAGCAGCTTCTGCCTTCTTTAATTGCTGCTCCATTTCTGAAAGAGTCTCCTTTTTCCCTATTTGTCAACATAAGTTACCACAATACATTATGACCCCTTATTGCTAAAGATTTATGTGTAAGTAGCAAAAGATTAAAACCTTACTTCTCGATGTAGGAGGTAATCCATTTGAAAAATCAATCGCGCTTGATCTGCCAGAAGCAAGGGCTCGCTGACGACTGGTCATAGTTGATTCCCTCTTACTATCATTACCAATCTCTTTTTCATCCGACGCCGCTTCAATTTGCTCCGCACAATCCATGTCTTCGGACACCTGTTCAGACACAGCTTTCTTCTTGCCGGAATTTTCCCCATTTGTTATCCCAGATGGCTTCAATTGCGTCCTTCCAGACTCAGTATCCTCATTAGACACAGAGACTCTCTTATATTTCAATTTTTCCAAATATCGGATCTCATCATCACTGTCGTCATCGCTATCAAAAACTCGTTTCTTTGGGGCTCGCTTGCTCTTGCGAACCGAGCCAGATGGTTCCCCTTGTTTTCTCCTCCCTGTCATAGATCCGTCTATCTCAGCATCCCAAGTAACTCCCTCAAGATCAGCCTTCTTATCTAGAGGGGAATTACAATCTTCTGAACTTTCCTGCAATTAAATAAAATTTAATGTAAAAAGATATCAAAGTTTACAGAATCTAAACTGTCAAAAAGGCTCACCACAGAAATTAAGACACGATTTAATCCTCTCCATTGGAGCACCAAAGTGAAATGCATAAGATAACATTTTCAGATTGCTGTCCATAAACAGTAAACATTTACTAGTTTGAGCCCAAGCGACGGATAATAGACTAATTAGTCCTAACTCTGGTCTCCGATCACGAGGAGATTATGGGCCGTAAGGCCCGAAAAGAGCGTAGCATTTACCGAAAAAGATACTCAATGCAATAGGTTGATACAAAGTACTATAAATCTGATCGGATGCGATACAATTCAACAAATTGAGCGTTGTCAATATATCCACATTAAGAGAATTCACCTGTAAATCATGGTTGGACCGAATAGTATCAGTCACCGGTTTTGAAGACTTTCTAGATGAACCATTAGCATGAACTAGCCGGCTCACACCACCGATCTTAAGCTTCATTCTCTTTGTTTCTCCCTCTAACTCACCCAAATCAGTTCCCTTTCCGTTGATCATGCCGCCGTTACCTTCATCTTTCCGGCTAGTGTTTTTCGAGCTGGCAGGTGCAAGTAAACCTTCGGTCGAACGCTTATTTCTATTGATGATCTCTCTCCGCCGAGAATCATTGTTTCCTCTTTCAGATTCTGCTATAGATTCAGCCCTTGATATACAGTGGCTAAGACTAAACTCTTTCCTCCTAGGGTTAGTATCAAAGGCCGGTATATCATCACTCGAAATCTTGCTGAAATGATCTGAAGATGTTAAAACACTGGATCCCTCGGGGCGAGGACGACGACAAGTGAGGCTACGTTTCTTCCTGACAGTATTCCTCATACCATCACAATAAGCAGTACCATTATCTTCCATTGTAGAGCATATATAGGCATAGAAACTCTTTTCCCTCTTAACAGATTACTAAACTCCAAGATTAACTGATGAATTGAGAAATTCCCAAGCTCCAATACTGAGAAACAAAACATTTATATCATTACACCAAATAAGCAAACACAAATTGACAGTTGAAATTGAACGAATGCATCATCAGAATCCCAGATCAATCGAAACGAGTAATCAATTGAAAATACACAAAAAGAACTAAACTTTCCTAAACGCGGGCAAGATCTCTAGCGGATCCACAACTTTCGACGAATTGAAACTAACACTAAAACGATCGAATCAAGAGCAAACCAACACAGAAAAATACAAACTTAAAACAATACGATCAACAACAAGAAATAATCAAAATCAAAATCAAGAGAGAAGCCACGAAGAATACCTTGATTGCTCGGCAAAGACGAATTGAGAGAATCGAGAAGATGATGATGATGATGATGAGAAGAATTGTTGGGAAAATTGTAGAATTGAAGCAAGGAAGAATTAGGGTTAGGGGAAGAATTGGGGATAAAAAGAATTAAGAAGAAAGCGTAAGAAGACAAGTAGTAAAGAGGTGAGAGACTTATTATCTCGTCGTTCACCATTTTTTTGCTATTTCAACACCAACAACAACCCACACACACACTCACAACAAAAAATATACCAAAAAAAAAGAAAATCCCTTTTTTATCGGTCTTCTTCGACAGCTAGAATCGGTGAGCCGACTCAGAGCGTGAACTCGTTTCCTTTTTCTATCTGTTTTTGCTAATCCCTCTCATCTCTCATCTCTCTCTCTCGTTTGTTTCCTTTTTTTCTTCTTCTGCTGCGTTTGTTTTGTTTTTTACACATGCCGGTGCGGCGCATGTTAAGAAGATGCTCATCTGTGTATGTTAGCCCATGCTTCTTTCTGTCATGTCATTAAAAGACGCGTGTTTTTTTCCTTCTCACGTTCATAACAAAAAAAAAAAAAAAAAAACAAAAAACAAGAGAGGAATACAAATTTAATCACTTGTTATTGTTATCTTATATTGGAAGAATGATAAGTTTACGAAGTTGTTAAAATTTATTCCTAGAGTTTTAAAACAAACAATAAAACAAAAAAATCAATTTTGTATAAGTCGTCTTTGAAATGATGTTTATTTATGTGAAAGTTTCTGATTAACTCAACAAAAAATCAGTTAAATTTTGGGTGTTTTAGCTCAGAGACAAAATTGGATGAACAAATTAGCTAAAAGACAATAGTCTAAGACAATGGATAAACTATTTTAGAATTGGGTCTGAAGTTCAAAAAAATTACACAAAAACCTGTCTTGAATATTATCATGCGCGTAGTTGACTTTTTGGACAAAAGCATTTAGTTCTGACATATATTTAATACAAGTAGACATTTATTGACAGTGAGACTAATATTAATCGTTGTTTTCTCTATCTAGAGAAGTTTTAGCACGCTATAAACATATATTACATGTCATTAACATTTGTACACATGTTAACAGATATATAAAGCGTTAAAAATAGTTATAGTATTAAGTTATTCGATCTATATATACATGCAAATATATATATATAGCGTTATTAACATGGGCATAACATAAACATGTACATAGAGGGTTAAATTTATTTATATGCATATAAACACGTACATAAAGCGTTATTAACCTTTGTATACATGTAAACACATATATAGAACGTTATTTAGAGACCAAAATATCATTGGAATCATAAGTTTCGTCGGATTTTTCAAAGATTTCGTCTGTTTTTGTCGAATTGTCACCGGAGTTTTCGCCGGATTCCATCGACTTGTCACTGGATCTACATCAAATTCTATCAAGTCATCACTACATCTTAGGTGTGATTCGTCATCCCAATAACACTGATTAGATTCCATCATCGCTAGCGGGTTTCCGTCGTTGAACCAACGTCATCGAATCATCAAATGTAATCACAATTTCTTTCGTTTATAGCAAATCTGTTACTAGAGACGAGAACTAACAAGATGCATGATAAATCTTGAATAAATGAAAAAACAATTACGATAAATTCCAAAACTCAATCATGTTTAATAATTCAAAAAGATAAGAGAGAAAGAAGAGAGCAAAAATCTTTTTTTTTTCTCGAAAAATAGAGCACTATTAACATAAATAGACAACCAAAAAGTCGAGAAAAGTAAACGAAAACAATTATATCTTGGCTACCTAAGTTTGTAGAGTTAAAAAAACACGCTTTTTCATCTCGAAAAATGATCAAAAATCATTCATTTGTCTCAGGTAATAGGTTGACTATGAAATGAGATGGTGGGGCGCGTGAGGTTAAAATGGACAAAAAAGGTGGCTAAAATTATCATTGTTATGGATTTTACTAAAAAATTAATTTCTCTCTGATTCCTTGTCTCCCAGCTAATTTGCTCTTAAATTTTTGTATATAATTCAAGTTAAGGTTTATCAGTGGTTTCTTACCACTTAATTGGCTAACTTTTAGCTAAATGAAATGGCGAAAGAAGTGATATATAAATAACATAATAATCAAAATTTTGAATTCAAAAAAAAATTCAGTGATGACATGGATCTAACGGTTCTGGACCTTTTGAGACATGGCCAAAACGTTGCTACAGAGCTTCTTCATAAGCTCATCAAGAGACGCCGTCGGCGAATCAACACCAGGAACATCCACGAAATTATCAGAACAAGTCGACACATCGGAGATCGCCGCACTCAGTACCGAATCCAATCTCCCGTAATCTCCCTCCTCCATCGCCATCTTCGCTTCTTCAAGACCTGACATCAACGAATCGTAATTCTCGACGCAAACGCTCATCGCCTCTTTCACCGCCATCGGCGTTTTGCTATCTTCCACCACACGTTTCGCGTAATCCAGAGTCGCGTTCGCTTTTTTAAACAGAGATTCAGCTTCCATTCGCATCACATCCTTAGCCTCAAATCCTCCTCCTCCTCCTCCGGCTTGTTTCTGTAGATCCGGGAGAATCGCGGCGATGCATTCGTTGTTGTAATCTGTGTTTTTGCAGAGATCCTTCGCCGTCGTGTCGATTTTCATTGACGAGAAATCGATTTTGTTTATATGTTCAAATTTAGGAGCTAGATCTGCTATGTTTGTGACGGAGTCGAAGTTGATGTCGATGTCTTCTTGGGATGCTCCGGGTGCGGAGACCGCCGCCGTGGGAGTTAAATTAGATTCGGTGCTAATGTCTTCAGAGGTGGGGGCTGGTGCGGAGGCTGGGACGGCCGAGATTGATGATACGGGTGGTTCGAGGAGCGAAGCGTCAGGTGAGGAAGCGGGGACTTCTACTGAACGGCCGGTGGCTTGGACGCCGGAGAATGTATAACAGCAAACAGTAACTCCGATTAGGATAATTGATTTGTAATAAGGCTCCATTTTTTCAACAAAAAGTTTTTTTTAAAAATTAATTGGTGATGTTTGGGAATTTTTAAAGGTACACAACACAATTTCTTACTATATATATTGACTGGTTTTAAATGTGTCAAAATTTTGGAAAAGCGAAATTACATGAGAGGTTTTAAAGGTGTTCATTTTTGCTCAAAACCCAAATTTAAACCCCACTATTATTATTATTCTTAGTATAATCGGGAAAACATTAATAATGCATAAAATCATGTACGAGCATATAGATTATCGTATCAGATCCGATTATTACATGTTATAGAAAATGTTACAAAGAAAAAACACTAATCCACTAATTGGGTGATATTACAAAATACAAACATTGACCCTTCTCTGATGGGCCTATTTGGGCTTAAAACCTTCTGTAATTACTGTCCTGGGGCTTTTTTAGCCATGTATAACTGTCGTTGTTTAATACAATAATCCTTTTGTGAAAAAAAAGAAAAAAAGAAAAAATAATGCTTAACAAAGCCCACTAGAGGCCCAAATGTATAGACGTGACAAGTCGGTGAAGCCGGGAAATTATTTTCACTCGAGACTGTCTCTTTCCTCTCCGATTTTACATACCACTGGAAAAAAAAAAAAACACGAAACCCTAAATTTCGTCGTAATTGGCAGAGTCCGGCAACAGTTGAGCTCTTTGCTCAAAGCTATTATAGCTGAGAAGAGAAATTCTATGTGAATAATGTCAAATCGGAAGTTCGGTATTGAAGGATTCGGCATAAATCGGCAAACTAGCTACAGTTTCGAGCGATCTCAAGCACCTCAACGTCTCTACGTCCCTCCCTCGTCTCGCGGCGGAGACAACTCCGAAGATGCCGATCTAGATAACATTGATTACATAGAAAACGAAGAAGCAGAGGAAGACATTGAGGAAGGCGGTTCTGCTGCGGCTAACGGTGGCGAGGATGATGAGATCGATCCATTAGATGCTTTTATGGAGGGAATTCACCAGGAGATGAAATCTGCTCCACCTCCTAAGCCAAAGGAGAAACTGGAAAGGTACAAGGACGACGAAGATGACGATCCTGTTGAGAGTTTCCTCAAGGCCAAGAAGGATTTGGGGCTGACATTAGCCGCCGATGCGCTTAACGCAGGTTATAACTCCGACGAGGAGGTTTACGCTGCAGCCAAGGCGGTGGATGCAGGGATGCTGGAGTACGATTCCGATGATAATCCGATTGTTGTGGATAAAAGGAAGATTGAGCCGATTCCAGCTCTGGACCATAGCTCCATCGATTACGAACCAATCAATAAGGACTTTTACGAGGAGGTGGAATCAATATCGGGTAAGTATCTCTATTCGTTAAAGTAACTTGATTTAATATATAGTTGTTGTTGGTGTTGCATCTAAATTGTTTAAATTTCTTAATCCAGGAATGAGTGAACAAGAAACTTCGGATTACCGACAGAGATTAGGAATCCGTGTGTCGGGTTTTGATGTTCATCGGCCAGTTAAGACCTTTGAGGATTGTGGTTTTTCCTCACAGATTATGAGTGCTATCAAAAAGCAAGCTTATGAAAAACCTACAGCAATCCAATGTCAGGCTTTACCTATTGTGCTATCTGGTCGAGATGTTATTGGCATAGCCAAAACTGGTTCAGGTAAGACTGCAGCGTTTGTTCTTCCCATGATTGTTCATATAATGGATCAGCCGGAACTTCAGAAAGATGAAGGTCCAATTGGTGTCATATGTGCCCCAACCAGAGAATTGGCTCATCAAATCTTCTTGGAAGCGAAGAAATTTTCGAAAGCATATGGTTTACGAGTCTCTGCTGTGTACGGTGGAATGTCTAAACATGAACAGTTTAAGGAACTCAAGGCAGGTTGCGAGATAGTTGTTGCTACTCCTGGAAGGTTAATCGACATGCTGAAGATTAAGGCTTTGACAATGATGAGAGCCAGTTATTTGGTTCTTGATGAGGCAGATCGGATGTTTGACCTCGGTTTTGAGCCACAAGTAAGGTCTATCGTTGGCCAGATTCGTCCTGATCGCCAGACTTTACTCTTTTCAGCCACTATGCCTTGGAAAGTTGAAAAGTTAGCTAGGGAAATCCTTTCAGATCCTATTAGAGTCACAGTTGGTGAAGTGGGGATGGCCAATGAAGATATTACGCAGGTTGTCAATGTAATACCTTCTGATGCTGAAAAACTTCCCTGGCTACTTGAGAAGCTCCCTGGAATGATCGATGAGGGTGACGTTTTAGTCTTTGCTTCTAAAAAAGCCACTGTTGATGAGATCGAAGCTCAGCTTACTCTAAATTCCTTTAAAGTTGCTGCTCTTCACGGTGATAAAGACCAAGCATCACGAATGGAAACTTTGCAGAAGTTCAAATCTGGAATCTACCATGTGCTGATTGCCACTGATGTTGCTGCCCGAGGTCTTGACATCAAATCGCTTAAGACAGTTGTTAACTATGACATTGCAAGAGATATGGACATGCATGTACATCGTATTGGTAGAACTGGCGAATTGGTGACTAGTCTGGTTGCAGCTGGTCAAATTGTGCCTCCAGAACTCATGGATCTCGCCATGAAGGTAACTACTTGCAGCTGGTCAAATCGTGCCTCCAGAACTCATGGATCTCGCCATGAAGGTAACTACATCAGTGGCATACGATGTAAATTTGATGCTCTAGTTTCATTTTTGCATAGACGAAAACATGTTTGTTGAGTCAAATTTTACCTTTGTAAATCAATAGGATGGACGATTCAAGTCCAAGCGTGATGGGAGAAAAGGAGGTAAGCATTCTGTAGCTCTATCAGTATTACCAACAGAAACCTTTGCACTAGTATTTGAATCCAAAAAGGAAACGTTCAATGTCTTCTTTGCATATCTTATTGTCAAGTGAGGGAATCCCTATCCAAAACCTGTGCGTGATCTCTTTAATCTCTTATGATGTAGGTGGTAAGAAAGGCCGAGGAGGAGGTGCTGCAAACAAAGGAGTACGTGGAGTTGATTTTGGTCTTGGTATTGGATTTAGCTCGGAATCTAGTGGGACACCATCTTCTAAAGCTGCACCAAGTAGAAGCGGGACAATCAATTCAGTGAGAACTGGAGTAATGGCCCAATTCAAGAATAGCTTTGTCGCTGCAACGCCATCGAATCCACAAAGCCAAGCTTATCCAAACAAGAGACCATCCCTAATGGGCTTTGTCTCGGGTGGTACCATTGGTGGGGACATGGGTAGAACTCAGAGTCAAGCTCCCCCAGTAGCACCTACTCAAAACGCTTCATTACATAACTCGAGTCAGCATCATTTACAGAGGTTTGATTCCTTTTAGTTTCAATCTTTTGTTTAAGTTGTAACACAGTAACAATATTGACCTGTTTCTCTTACTGTTGCAGTTCTGAGAATCGGCCTAGAGAGAGGAAGAGGAGATCTGGTTGGGATAATTGATTAAGCCACGTTTTGCATGATAGTGGAAGTGTTTTGCATGAACAATGTAATGAATGTTGTATAATTTGTTTTATCCTTCTCGTTTCAGCCTTCAAATATATAAATTTTCCATTTGTTGTTAGGAACTAATTAATTCTTCGTACAAGAAATGATATGGAAAATAGATAATAAAAAGGGTTTCAAATTACAAGAAAAATCACTTAAGAGTTCCATACAAGAGAGAGACAAGAAGTAAAGCTTTTACATGTCTTGAAGCAAAGTGACGGACATGATCTCTATTGGCGACTTGGGTTGATACTGATCATCTGTCTCAACCTCTTGGATCTCCTGAACGACGTCTTGTCCCTTAGAAACTCGACCAAAGACTGTCAATTTCTCGTTCAGATCTTTGAACTGAGCAGATACAATGAAGAACTCGAATCCTCCTAGCTCGTTTTTAGCTTTAGGAGTTCCCACCATGAACTCTTCATGTTTTGAACTGATCAAGACAGAGACAGAAAGAGTTTCCATAATTAGCTTCATCTGAGCTTCTTTTTGCATATTTCCTATCAATTCATGTGTGTAGTACCAACCTGGTATCAATGTTCTTTCTTTCGAGTGCCCAATCTTTGACAGCATCGAACTCTGCAGAGTCACCCGCTTGAATCACAAAATGCTTTACAACTCGACGGAATAAGAAACCTTTGAAATACCCATCTTGACTGCGCACACCAATGACACAAGACAAAGTTTATGCAAGAATTATGTTAAACATGTTTTGGACCTGAGAAAGATTTGCTCACCATAATTTCATGAACTGGTCAACAACATTGGGAGCAGTATCCTTGAAGAGTTCAATGGTCACTGAACCTTTGCCCGTATCTAAGGCCTAGCGATCAACAGAGAAAGATAAAGTCTAGGAAACAAGAAAAGAAAATACCAAAGTGAACAAAGCATATGACGGTGGGATAAAACTCACAGCAAACCGCGGAAGATCAACATTCTTCATTCCAGGGAAGGCTGCATCCTACACATGAGGACAATCATTTACCTCCATCAAACCAAGCAGGGAAGCTAAACCAAGTAAAAAAAGGCATATAGAGAGGCATTACCTCAAGAACTGATCTACCATTGTGCGTTGGGATCTCAGATCTGAAATTGCACAACCAAGAAACTAACACATCCTAAACTTTGGGACAAAAGAATCTGATAGAGATGAAGAGAGGAACCTGTGAGTCCAACGTCTGTAAGCAGAGAAGAGAACAAAGACGAGCAATAGCAGAGCCAAAGTGTAAATGACGATGTTGGTTATGCTTATCCGAGACGGTCCTTTCTTCTTCTTGCTTTGCTGCAATAATGCTTGAGGTTTGATCTTCGCCATTAGTTAGTGTTGCACAATTCTGAAGGAGAAGAAGACGAATAAAAAAAATCAATTAGGAATAAAAGACAAATTCGGCATAACAAAAGCAGTTAGCTTCAAATCTACAGAGAACTCGAGATCGGGAAACCTCCTTCCTTGATCTTGATCTAGACAGGGGACGAACAAAGTAAGATTTGACGAAATTCGAAGAAGAACACAGATCATCAATCCAAGGTCAGAAAGACTCAAAGTCGAAATCTGGAAACTAAAATCAAGCAAAGACTAACACCTCTTTGGTCTTCTTATTCTTCCTTGTAATAATAAGTGAGAGTGATTTGATTTCTTTGGTCTGCGAAACTATTTTGCCTTTAAAGGGAAGAATATTACTGGCGATATAACTCTCTCATTCACTGAGAGGCACTCCAGTTTATTTTTTAAATGAAGTACTATTATTTTTCACTAAACATTACTGCCAGCCTAACAACGGAAATTCCGAATTTTTGTAAATAATAATATTGAATTTGAAATGGATTATAGTAGAGGTTAATTAGATACCGTTTAGTTTTTGGTTTGGATCAGGTGAAAATAGGTTTATTTACCGTTTATCAAAACAAATTTTCGATTATTTTTCTTTCCAATTCTAAGTTTCTAAACAAAAATTGAGTTTAGAAACCAGTACTATTTATTTACTGTCTGCAGTCTAAAAGCATAGGTTTCTTCTAACCAACACATAATTAATATCTCCTTCTTCCTCCGTTTTACAGCTTTATCTCTCCATTGCTCATCACACAAAGCTTCCGCCGTCGGTTTTTTACTGCACATTAAAACAAGTTTAAGAGCTCAGAAACCAAATCAGCCCATGCTGAATCACTGAATTGTAGTAATAAACAGAATCAACTGTTCATTACCTGAAGAAACCTTTTATGAACATGTTGTTTCAACAGCTAGTGTTGTTACTCGATATACTACATTGTTCTCCTGATCCTGAAAACACATCACTGAACATATTGCAATTTACTCTTCTTGTGAGAGACTATCTAAAAAGTGGAACTCGATGTCTGTCAATACGACACATTGTAGAAATTATCTCTAACCGCTGTGGATAAGGATGGTTGTTGGAGTTTAGCATTCTGTTGCAATAGATCTGACTTAACTTGCTCGCTGTTTTCGATTGCTTTTTGGCTCTCATTGTTTAACGGGGGAGATACAAGTTTTAGATCTTGTAACCTTGTTTGCTCTTCGAACCATCTCTCAAACATGGAGTATTCTTCAGGTTTCTCCCACTGTGTGTTCATCAATAAATTCAGTAAAAGTATATATTGCTTCAGATGAGTACAAATTGAAAGAGGGAAACGTATACCGTGCTTTCGCAAGTGACGCAATGGAAGTAATATTTATTCCCATCGGGACAAGTGTGTTCACTCCAGTCACACTCAGAGCTCACTGTATTTTGCTCTTCAGGGAATGAATTTGAATGACTAGAAATCTTCTGACCATCCCTTCTAGTCTACAAAAAAGTATTTACAGATTTAAGATCAAGCAGATGTATATACGAGATTTATGAAACGTAAAGCGTCTAAATAAACTCTTTAGTTCGGAGTTCAAGATCCATCTACCATTAGCAGATCCTACAAAAAGAGTACCTCTACGCTGGCAGTCTCAGAATTCTGATGCTTCTCCAAATTTTGAGGTGGAATATCTTGATGCAGTGGTTGATGAACCTCGGATACTGCTTGAGTATTTTGGTGCGGGAAGTGATTTGGTTGTGAAGAGAAATCATGATGCTGAACGACTCTAGGGGCTGCAGGTTCCTTGTTTTCCCATTGGGGATATGGTTGTGAATGCCAATTTGGGTCGAAGTGTTGCATTGCAGGTGGAGTGTTAAAGGTAGACCTGAAGACACCAACCAATCCAGATTTAAGTGATGGAGTAAGATTAGAGTGTAAGAACCAAGAGTGTGAGTTTGGAATTGAAAGGAAAATCAGGCAAATAATGTCGAAAAGGAATAATAGTAAACAGTAAAACCTTGGTTTTTTAGGATCTGCAAATCTAACAATCAAAGGCTGATCAGAACCCTGAAGGAAGACAGAAACACAGTAAGTCATGTAACATTGGACGCCAAAGAAACATTGAGCCATTGAGATACAACAAAGAACAATCTGAACTACCCGCATGGTAAAGACTCCATTTAAACCTTTGATTGCTGCTAGTGCCATCTCCCTACAAGAAAACTGAACAAATGCATACCCTGCAGAGAGCAAAGAAGTTACTTAATAAGGTTTCATGCTATCCGAAATATCACTTTTAGGCATTGGTTAAAGAGAAGCAATGTAAGGCTGTCCAGGCAGTTTTTCGAGGAGAACTGTCATAACAGTTTACTATGTTCAGGTATTCTTCTGTTACTAAGGTTGAAATGGGAGTTTTATATAAAGTTATTAAGTAATATGAAGTAAACGCAATCTACTGGAGGAGAAACTACAAAATCTGAACAGTTTAAAATTAGGATGTCTGAAACAAGCATGATTCAGAGTCGAGCACCAAAATATCCAGGGGAAACGGACATACCACGACTAATCTTCATGTCGTCAAGTGCCATATAAATATCTTCAATGATTCCGAACCTAGAGAAGACCTGATAAGAGGACACTTTGAGAATTTATTCACAACAAAGTAAGAAATTTAACTATAAAAAAACAAAGACAATCTGCACACTGTTCTGTCAATTGGCAGTGACAAAGAAATTCAGATAAACTGAAAGTTAAAGCCGAAAAGGAGTCCTGCCATACCTCATGGACTTCCATTTTTGTAGTTTGTTTGTTGAGGCATCTAATATATAGTTTAGGGTTGTCAGGAGGTTGCACCGGGGCAAAACCTAAAGTGCAGATGAAAAGAGAATACACAAATGTGAAACTTGGTCTTATGCGCTAAGTAAAGGGGGAGAAGGAGAAACAGTTCAAGGTATGTAAATCAAATACTAACTAAGGTAATAAGACATGATTCTGTTTCAAAGGTTCTCCTATTACACTACCAATGTTGTCTTCAGAGTTTTACGTTCTATCTAAATTTCTGTCTCTAGAAGTATGGACACCTACTCTTACCAATCCGTTCCCGTTCAGCGTCAGCAAATCGGACCTTGAGTGGAAGCATTTCCTGAAAAAAAAACCGAAATAAACGTTTGAAAAGAGCCATATCAGCGAGGATATGTTAAAACAAAACATTGCGGAAGTTAAGAACCCACCCCAGGAAAGGTAAACTGTTCAGCTAAAGCTGCAATAGCGGCATTACCCTCTTCTACCGTTTTGTACTTAACAAAACAGTAAGCTGCAAAGATAAACATAAAAAATGTTATAAGGAAACGTCTAAACCCCAGAAGCAAGAATATCAATGAAAGAAAATGCTTTTCAAGTAATTGGGAAACAAAAAAAAAAAAAGAAATCACCTGCTCTGTCACCGGTCATCTTATCTTTGGGTAGAATGATCTCAGTGACATTACCATATGTTTCAAAGACCTGACGGATCTGATGTATAACACAGATTGTGACAAGTAAATTCTCAAGGAAACATTTAAATAAAAGCATAAAAGAGTAAGCCAAGAAACTCACATCATATTCAGTTGATGTCTTTGAGATGGGCGCAACATATAACTTGGCAATACTACCATCAGCAGTATCTGAATTCAGATTATCAGAAGCGAGTTAAAGAGTAAGTCTTTTTAATGAAAGTTTACACTTTTTGTCGATATGTAGCAGAAACTGAAGATAACCTGTAGCTGATTGAGACCGTCTCTTCCTTAAGCTGCCACCACCGCAAGGACTCGGTGGAAACGGCGGAGGAGCGTTATTACTCTGATCAACGATCATGTTCTGTTGTTGGCCGGAGTAATGCGGCTGATTGAAACGCTGATCCCTGTTGTCGTTTTGGGGGTATTGGTGGAATCCAATGGCGGCGACATGGTGGTGCTGCGGCGGCGGATGAGTCTGATGATGATGAGGGTTGTTGTAGTTGTTTTGATAGTATGGAACTGGTGGTGGAGCACCAGGGAATGCGTTTGGGACACGTCTCTCCATCTAGAAGTCGATAATTTTGAGCTCGTCGCTGTAGTCGAGATTGTGTTGATCGGTAATTTCTCCGGCGCCGGTAGAGAGAGAGGGAGAGAGAAAGAGAGTTTTAGTCCTAGGAGTTTCCCGTACCGGACTTAATAAACTTCGATGTGGTTCGGTTTAAGCATTGAAACGACAACGTTCTCAGCTTTTCGCGATTTTGTATGTTAATAAAGTTTTGAGAAAAAAAGAAAAAAAAAAAAAAACATTTAATCACCGCACGCGAGGCATTTTTAGAAAGGGCCGAGTTAGTTTCAAAACAAGCGATTTGGTCACAGAAATTGGAAACACGCGCTCAACTCGCGATTGGTGAGAGAGGACTATGACATGGGGCGCTCTGATTGGCTAATAAAATGAAAATAGTAGACATATAGCTCCTACCTTACCAGTTATAGTACCAGTTGCTGGAAAAATGTAATTCTCTTTCACATTTCTTAACATGTCTTTTTCGGTTTATATGTAACAAAACAATGTGAATTTTTAAAAGCAGTGGACATCACAAGAGTCTTGTAGCTCCAAGACAATGGTAGCAAGTGCGAGTCTAAACGCACAAGATCTTAGGTTTCTAACTAAAACATAAATCTGCTTCTTCCTCCGTTTTACATCTTTGTCTCTCCATTGCTCGTCTCTTAGTCTCCCTAACAACACCGCATCACAGAAAGCTTCTGCCGCCGGCTTTTTACTGTGCACAATAAAGACAACTTTAAGAGCTCAGAAACCAAATCAGCCTCTCGCGACTTGTACTCAAGATTTAGTGAGTTTTTTTTTTTGTTTTTACCTCCCCCGGACAAATCCTGTTGTTACAAACCCGATTGGCCATCTATGAGATTGCTCTGTAAGAGTGTCTTCGGAGACATTTAGTTCCCAGCTTCCAGAAGGTTGTTCTTGAAAGTAAGAACTTACAGAAGATTGCGGCATTGTAACACGCCCTTCTTCTCCTTCACCGCAGCTGTAAAACATAATGTACCCGAAATGTGATCCCAAAATGAAATAGTTCCAACGGATCACAATTTGTTGAACATGGATTCTTGGAGATGTTACCTGGATTTTAGCAATGATATGTCTGCAAGAGTTGGTGCACATACAACCGCGCCTTCTTCGAAAGAACCTTCCTTGAAAGCATGTAAAAGAACTCTGACGAGGCACAGTTTCTTACTACTCTGATGGATCTGAGCTCTTACTTTTTTATCATCTTCTTGAAGCTTCTTCATAAGGTTTGTTTTTGAAGTGTTGTGAGGTAATAAAAGCAAGTTGTCACTTGTGAATGTTTGGAGAAAAGTAGTCAGCGAATCTGATGTTCTTGCCACGATACCATCAAATAGATTACCACCAGAACTGGAAATTTCCACTCCATTCGTCCCATTGCTTGTAAGCTTTTGATTGGAACTCTCTCCAATAGAACGTGTGACGTGGATACTATTCCATGGAGGTGGAATGGGAATTCTGAAAGGTCTTATGGCTGGAGGGCGACGTTGTGCCTTTTCTTCCAAGTCTGCAGCCTCGCTCAGTGTAAAAGATGAATACGCTTTACAGTCCGGGAAATCTGATGGGAAAAAGGGCAAACCATCCTGCAAAAAAAAAGAAAAAAATGACAAGTTTCAGACATTTTTCAAATATACAGTTTAATAAGTTTACATAGCAAGAGAATCTTAACATTCGGAGAATAAAGTTGAAGGGGGCGAAAATATACATCACAAGAAACCCAGCGTTTCTCCCTCTGACCTATTGCATGAGCTCCTTTTGAGACCAAGGCATTCCAGAAGACTTTGATCCAACTAACGGGAAGTATAAGAGACCATCTGAAAGAAAATAACAATGATTTACTTTCGGATCATTAATCTAAATAACGTCACAGAACGATTCAACCAAAGTACATATTACCCGGTAGGTGCATTCCCAAGTTTTTTATGTTTAAGAAGCAGTAAAGGACAAGACCTTGAACTCCTTAGCCTACTAGATACCTTTGGAACATCAGCAGCTGGGTCATCGAGGCAAAGAGAATCCAGACGACTTTGATGCTTTTCCCAACACAACATGTTCTCTTCTTCTGGAGGGTTCAGCTCACGATTTGCATCCCACAAGCAGTTGAAAACTTCAGGAAAAGTTTCAGCCTCAGTGTTGGTTGTTGTTTCAAGTGACTCAGTAGGCTCAGTTTTGGTTGTTTCAAATGACACTGTACTATCATCACGTGGACTATTCAGGATTAACCGCGGATCTATGACAAACTGTGCTAAAATAGCGCCAGATGATACGTTCTCTTCTTTGTAAGGATCAGCAACGTTTTTAACCTCAGCTTTTTCCATTGAACACATTTTAGAAATAGAGGTATCCTCTGAGCTACTGCAAAGCAAAAAAAAAAAAGAACTGAGATAAATCTTCCTTTGTTCATTTGCAATCATTCTATATATACTCAGATGGCTCACCTTAAAGCAGGATGTAGGGTCTTCTGGAGAAGATGAGATGCTTTTGGACCAAAAATCTCAAGTTTTGCAAGCTGGCCCTCGAGTGAAAAGCAATCAACTGAGACACCTGTCTCATTCATCTGAATGAAAGAGCTGTAGGTGTCATTATCTCCACAAGAATATGTAAAGCATGACGCTAACAACAAATGACAGCTAGTGCACCTAAAAGTAACCTCAAGAAACAACAAATAACTACCTGTTTCTGACAAGCTACTTTAAGAATAGCATATCCTTCAGTGAAGGAAGAAGCATGGATCCACACCCAAAGTTTTCGAAAGTCTACATAATCTCTATCTGAGACTGGGCGATCAGTTCCTATGCCGTCCCCTCCTTTCTCCTCATCTCTTCTCTTTGGTATCTGAGAAGGTCTCCACATATAAGTTACAGGAGCAATCGCCTGAGAAACTGGTGGTTCGAGATGATAAAGCTGGAGACAAAACAGAAAAACTTACGGTTACATCATGCTTAAGTTGTCGTCTCGTTTCCTGTTTAGAAAAGAGAAATTCATATATCCACTATACCATGGCGTTTTCATAACTACGGCCTGTGAGAATAGAGTCAAAAACTTCCTTGGAATGAGATGAAGGAGAAGGCTCTAGTAGCATATTTAATATCGACAAGAGTGAGCCCTGAGAAATTCAAAGGCAAAAGAGATCAAGAAAATATTAAAGCAATTTAATGAAGAATATCAAGAATAAAGAAAATGCCTGCCTCTGGACCCTCCAATTGCACAGCAATGTGATAGCTTGCATCATGAAGAAGAACACCTTGCCTAGATTGCTTCAAGACATCCCTAGATCCCCTTCCTCTAGAAGCATGACAAAAACAACCTTAAGATTTGAAAAGGCTCAAACTTTGTTGTAACTTATCAGAAGCAACAACACTGAAAATTTGAAATTTACCTTCCATGTAAACCAAGAGGAAGGTGAAAGCCCCAAAGCTTAGTCATCGTAAATCGTTTAGCATGCCAAACATGTGTTCTCAGCCTCTTTGTCCCATCACCAGAAGTACAAAAACCAGATTGAGGGTTCCCTTTAAGTTCCATTCTTCTCTTAACTCGTCTAGTGATCTTTGTTTCATGGTCTCCTCCTCCTGATACTTGACCAATCAATGACTCTGATTTCTGCCTCTGTATATAACGCTTCTTTGCAGGTTGATTATTGTAAGAATTGGTCCTTCTCCTCTTATTCCTCTTTGATCGAAAGTCCTTGTTCAAACGTTCAGACACAATGGAGTGAAGAGATTCGAGCTCCGCTGCTCGAGCCTCTGAGAATTTCTGGACGTTGATTTTGCGAGGGGCAAGCGACGATAAACCACCATCTCTTTTCTTAGAGTTTCCATTCGAAGTAGTAGCCATTCTTGATATCTCGGAGGAGTAGTTTGAAAAAAACCCAGAATCCCCAAAATCCAAACTTTTGGGAAGAACAAAACTTACTATGAAATTGGTTCAGGCAATTTGACGAACAGTTGGCGGGCAAGAATAGGAACTGCGGCAGTGATAATAAAACAAGGGCAGACACTGGCACACGGACACGGCTTAGAGAATCAGTCTGAGGAATACGCAACACAAGGAGAGATAAAGAGAGGGAAACAGATTTGGTCAGAATTTTCCCAAGATTTATAAATCTCTGAGAATTAAGGTCTTTTTCGATTCATATACACACACTGTTTTTTTTGAGGGGCCTATATTTATTTTACAAATATAATTGGATTAATAGGCCTCATAGCCCAATATATTAAATAAATCTTCTACTTGTAATAATTTGTTAGCATTAGAAGAAACAGGTAAACAACAATCTAGTATATGATTTACTTGTTAAACTATCTTCTTGCTGTTTGATCCAAAATTAAACAGTCTTTGTCTTTTAGTACTCTCAAAACACACTGTCTGATATTTTGCTTTAAATGTTTAGGACCAAAACGCAAATCAAAAATATGTAGATATCTAGTTTTCTTTCATAAACTCCATGATTAACATAAGAATCAAGATCGATCATGTGATATGCTTTTAGCCTACTTTGTCAAATTGAACAATTCAATAATGTTGTTCACATAGTTTTAATTTGGTCACATCATTTAGAAGTTTAGATCATCAAGAGATCTCTATGGTCTGTGACAATATCTTAAGTAACCTACATAAGATTGCTCTGC